GAAATCATAGTTTAACCTTAGTGTACACTAAGCAAAGTTTTTCGTAAGGTAAGTCTGAGCAAAGTCCAAGTGCGCACTATAGATCTCACCCTTAGAGACCTTCAAGAGAAAAGCGTAGCACTAACTTCAAGGTCGACAACGCATTTGCAAACCGCCTGCAGTTGCAGGTAAATAGGCGGCGGTAAATACTTAAATTTAATTTCTGCTCGTTTGCATCGTGTCCCATAAATATAAGCATTCAATACAGCACTAAATGTATGATATTTTGAAATATAGTAATAATAATATTAACATTCTACCTACAAAAAGAGAACATCAATTTGCGTGACTCTTTGTTTTCAATATGTTCTAAATAATAATGTTTAAAATGAATATTGTACGTTTTTCTACGACGTTTTGCCTTTTAATACACAATTTAAAAGGAAATTATGTATTAAGAGGCAACAGATAAAAACAAATGTAGAAATAATGGAAAATGTCCTCTTTTCCTTTCCGTTAATCTAAAGGTGGGAACTGACCAAAGTTACGAGGTGTAATGTAACACGTTACACAGCGAGCATTCGTGCAGTCAGTACGTCGTGTTACGGGGAAACCAGCGAGCAACGAGCCGCTCGTTACTCGCTTTGAGTGCTCCACACGGCTGTCGGTTTTTTGGCGAATCCTTTGACTGTAACGCGGTTCAGTAATTACGCGTCGGACGTAGCGAGTGATCATGATTATGATTTTCTATAAATTGTGTCTTTTATAAGTACTTTTGGTCCAATTAAATTCAACAGATCTTCAAAATCGAGACATGCGTACAAAGTTTTTATACTGTCCAGTAATCATTTGGTTTTTTAATATTGCAATCAATAACAAACCACCTCATATGCCTGTGTTTTTAAATTAGTTTGATGACCAGTAACATTTTTTCTTCTTCTTAATTTGGATGAAACAATAATTAAATAGAATGAAAGATATGAACACGTCCTCGCTGTCGGCCATCTCGTGAACACTGGCGGCGAAAGCGGAGCACAGAGTTTTGACGAGCATGTTACGCCGATTTTAAAACACAGCGTAACATGCTCGATGCGTAACATGGCTCGATGCGAATGCTACATTACACCTCGTAACGTTGGTCAGTTCCCACCTTAACTCGCTGACAGGTTTGTACAAAAGCTTTATGATTCCGCGTAACTAATGCTTCTAAGAACGTGTAAATTATCAATAATTTTCAATCATATTTTTTGCTAAATTTCAGTAATTTTCTTTTTTATTATCGGAAAGAATTGTCCTTCTAATAAGAAAATTTGTGTCATGCTCCTCTTTTTGGTCCATTTAAAAACCAGAGGATTCTTTAGTTTCGTCTTTCTTAATTTTTGTCTTTAATATTTCTCTAGCTGAAAGTACGGGAAAACACTAATCAAATTTGACATAAGTCAGCGAGAGACAGAGACACTAAGCGATTTAACGATTCATAACTGACGTTTGCATTCTAATGTCGTTGAAGTTTCTGGAATCTCGCCTTATTTATGGAACTATGCTGTCAGCCAGTAGAGCTCAACACGGGCGAGCCTAGGTCAGAAATAAACTGATTTACACAGTCGGACAGTTACAAGATCGTTTCTAATAATTTTATTTTGCCTTGACAGTATATTTCACTATTTTTAATTTATCACGTCACCTAGAAAACAACGTAAAAAACTATTGAAAGGAAAATAGTTTTCATACGGAATTGAATTAACACAAAAACGCGCAGTTACTGTACTTAATAATACACAATACGCACTTAAGATTCGAAAATTGATTTCAAGTCGCAGTTGGCGCACTAACTTTACAGTGTCAGTTGTCATTGCCAGATGAAAGATGACAGATGACACTTTAATCGTGTTTATTTAGGGGCTTGAGGCAAAATCACCTTGTGACAGGCGTGACCCACTAACACTAAACGAATTTGTATGGGAATCGCATTAGTTCACACTTTGTGACGTGACAAGTGATGTCTAAAGCCCCAGGTATTCATTCTAAACTTTATTGTGAAAGAGAATTTGCTCTCGCGCATATGCAACAAAATTATTACTATAACACGTCTGTGCCCATATTAATCGTCGAAAAAATTGACATCTAAGGGAGGTCTTTGGACAGAATTGCCATCATTAATAAACATGAGGCTATCAAATTGTCGGTAATATCTCCATAAAGTGTTTATGACAGTACCTATTAAATGCCATCCGCTGAGGAGAAATCGGATTATTATTGACGTAAAGTGACTTATGATATCTGTATATTAAACAATGATTTTATTTCCATTCACAAATATGCAGTATTTACAATATTCTTATCCTACATAGTAGTTATAATACTTATAATAATTTAAAATTGATAAAGAGAAAACTAAAAGAAATTTAAAAAAGTTTGGTCTCTGTGGCATTTCCTCGCTGTATTGCCATACTTATTCGGTGTCCCCACTAAAATCTTTAATTAGCGCCTGTGCACTTAAACCCCACGGCCCAAGAGTCTATTCTCCAAAGGGAACAAAATTAAATAGGGAGGAAAGACTCTTACATTTGAGCCGTTTAGTATCTTCTGCTGATTTAGCGTAATAATGCAGAATTTCTGCATACGTTTCATATTTGGTCTTAGAAAATATGACCATGTGTCTAAATTCCGCAGGCAGCTGGGGTGGCTACCTATTCGATTCAGACGTCACGCTCATCTTCTTCAACTTCTATACTCAATTCTTTTCAATCCGAAAACCCCTTCTTATCTCAAAAATCACTTCAAATTCTTATGTCCTTCTAATAGATGTTTATTGGAAATTCCATCCCACACTTCATCCTTCTTAGGCAATTCATTTACGATCTCCGCCATTAAGTTGTGGAATACGCTGCCTGACTCCGTACGATAGGCTACCTCTCTGTCATCTTTTAAAACTCTTCTGTATAATCATTTCTTAACCTTATCCTATCCTCATCAATCGTGACTTGTATAATTCTTATGATTCCTTTTCCATTTTTTTTTTTTTTTTTAGTTTTTCTCTTAACTAGGGTTGCCTGGAAGAGATCGCTTATTAGCGATAAGGCCGCCCGTTGCATCCCTTATAATTTTTATGTATTGTGTTTCTTATATTATTAGCAACGAAGTGTAAATAAATAAAATAAATAATTTTTGTAAAATAATTATATTCATTTTTTTTAAAAGGCAACTGTTTTATTATTGCCATTTAACAAAATAAACCTAAAATTAATATTAAACTTGGGAAAAATATTTAAAACTTTCAATTCTATTTAGATTTGCCTAAATTTATACTGCATTTGCTTGCGTATAAACGTAAACTTGGTATGTAAATCGAAAGCTACTTGCCAACAATATTTCTTTTATATCAAAATAAGTGTAAATTCCTCTAACGATCTAAGAAAATATCTCTAGTGTTCCCCCTGAGAGGGGATAATATTGACACTAAGTGTTTAGCTAATTTGTATGTGGGTGAGTCGATATGACTGACTATGGGTCTTAAAGGATTGTTGTGTTTGTGTATTTTTGGCAATCCATACATTTTTGGAGGTTTTACGCAGGCTGTTGTTAAAGATTTGACGTCTAATGACAGTGTTTCAGAATATTTAGTAAGGAGGCTAGATGTTTGTTTTATTACCTTCCCACCACCACCCTTCACAACTGCTTTCTGTCGGTAAATGTTTGTTTCAGAGAGCCCAACGTCTTTGTGATGATGCCCACCTCGAGGAGGAACTACAGCATGTCAAACAGATGCTACACCGAAACAAGCTGCGCATCCCCCGGCTGCATCACAAAAACAAAAACAAGACACAAACAGTTCCCCGCCAGCCAGCCTACTTGCCATATGTAAAGGGAGTTACAGATAGAATTAGCCGGATCCTAAAACGAGCTTCTATTCATACAATTTTCAAGCCGCACAAGAAGATTCAGCAATTCCTAAGACCAATCAAAAGTAACACCCCATTGCAAGATGCAGGTATATACAAACTGGATTGCGACTGTGGCCTGTCTTACATAGGGCAAACTAAACGCAATATGTCCAGCAGACTCAAAGAACACATTGCAGACATAAGACATAGACGACACACAAAATCAGCAGTCTGTGAACACATACTAGATAGGCCTAATCACTACATACGCTTTGACCAACCAAAAGTACTTGCGAAAGAGAAAAGATTCTTCCCAAGATTGGTACGCGAAGCCATTGAAATCAAAAAACACCCCAATTTCAATAGAGAAGACGGCCTAAAATTGTCAAACACCTGGGATCCAATAATATCCAAATTAAAATCTCAAAAAGAAACACAATCCGCGAAAATAGAGGACACCGTAAGCCATTTTTGCCAAAACCCTCCATCTTTTAGTCGATACCAACTCCGGAGAAATAAATACAGATAATGCAACTTTCTCTGCAGCTGTGATACTTTTTGACATTCAACATCTTTTGTCTTCAGTCACCGTGACCACGCACGCTGTAAAGCACGCGAAACGTCGGATAAATTTAAAATTATGTTAAATAGTTGTAAATTTATAATAATACATAACTTCAATCCGGTCAAAATAGTGTTTTATTAAATGAATAAAAGTTATGTTAATCAAAGACAATACTATATATAGGCTTTATAAATAATCTTACCATTTTAGACATTTCTTAATAAAATAGTTTTGTATGCAAATAATAATAAAAAAACAGTGGCGAACAGGCCTCAGATTTCAATCTAATTAGCAAGTAGGTGATCAGCCTCCTGAACCGGACACACGCCTCGGCTGTCATCCCGGGGAATAAATAATCACCATTGCGATAATCATAATTACCTTGACGTTTGCGATGTTAGTACGCATTTGATCTTCTCATCAAATTATACATGTTATAACACAGACCTACTTGAGTCGCAAAGCCAGTGCTAATAAGTGCTGGAAATATAATATTCGCTTCTTCGCTCAAATGAAACTGTATTTCCTATTTATATTCAACTAAAAAATATTTAAGATTGAGATAAAATGATTTACCTGAGAGGTGTTATGATAGCACGGTGTCTGTCTACGGCAATCGCGGTTAATGTAAACACACTGACATTTACACTCAGAGCTTGCACGAACGGACAAAATGCACACATGAAATGAGGTAGGAGCCATCGCTGGAGGAGCGCCGCTTGAAACTGAAAGAAATAATTATTACATTACAGGGAAACTTATCATATTTATTATTTAATTTCAATTATCATTCTATAAATGAAAACAATAAATACCTTAATAAAAAACAATAACTAACCTTAAAATATAATAATTAGATAATTATCACTAAATAAATTCAAAGCTCTCGTTAAACGTAAATTAATCAAAAAAGCTTTTTATAAATTTGACGAATATTTAAATTATCCTAATCCTTGGGATTGATTTACTCCAGTTCAAACAATTTATATGACTCAAAACTTAGCGATTAAAAAGAGTGGCGGAATTTTTTTTGCCAGTTCTTCTTGCCTGCTCTACGCGCTTGACTTGCGAACTGCTAGTAAATGTAAATTTAGAATTAATTTAAATTAATTTAATTTAATTTCTGACGTTCATAAGTGTACTTGCTTACCTATATGAATAAAGTTATTTTGAGTTTGAGTAAAATATATTATTAAAACTTGCGTTCCCCCTTTGAATTGCTAGACTAAATTATGTTCGAGGCTGCCAGCTCTTCGGTCTCCTGTGATGTCAACTTACCTTTTTGTAATTTCCTTAAAAAGCCTTATAGCGCTAGGACCCCACGGACCAAGGGTCTCGACACCGAATGGGACAAAATCATATTCGTAGCCTAGAACTCTGTATTTACTTTAGTTATTTTGTTAAATAAATCTCGCGGTAACTTTTTTATTATATTATTACGCAAAGAAGTATAGTCTGTCTCTCAGGAATTCTTCATCATTGTAGTGATGAAAGGATTTTGAAATCCGTCCTGCCTCTAGACAATCCTATTTTATTATCTATTTTATTCTGTTATACGCTAACGCTGTAACGTTATTGATAACAAATTGATAGCCAAACGAATAGTGGAATGCTCATTTGATTCAATTGTGCGATAGAAGTCGAACTTTGTCTCTGGTTAGTAGACTTCCAACATCATTTTTAATTAGACATTTTGGCAAGAGAAGGTAAATTCAAATTGAAATTGTATTTTTTTTAATAGTTTTGTTGTAAGAATATTAGATATTTTATTATAATTCTATAAATTAAAAAAAAAACATTTTGATTAACTTACAAAACTAAATATGTAAATATTTTTTCTTATTACGCTCAGTTTTTGAAAAATACTACATTACACTACGTTTATCCTCAATATAATTAAGTATAAATATTTTGAAAATCATATGAAAATGGGAACTTTTAATAAAAAAAATCAGTTGTTCTCTCATATTTTCAGGTGAAGGTCATCTTAAGGAAAATATTAACTTGTTTTAAAGAGTGGAGGAAAGAAGGTGCTGTTCCTCCAAGCTAAAGTTAACCACTGACTGGCCTGAAGCCCCCAGTCTAATCTATTCGAGAAGTTCAAAATTAGCGGTCGGAATAGCTTTGATAACGTGTATCACAGTATGACGTCATTGTAGTGATTTGTAGCTACAGAATCGCTGCTTCGAATTCCAGACCAATAAAATAAACGTTTATAAATAAAACTAAATTAAGTATAGGAAAGGGGGAAGGGCGGTCAAACGAGCCTACGGGACGACCATAAAGAGCAGTTATCGCATGGTTAGACTTCCAGTAGGAGTCGATTTCACAGTTCGCTAGTTAGCAAAAGATAATGCCTAGTGAAGCGGACCGTTAAAGACTTTCAGCCAAGACAACAAAGGAAACAGAAATCTCATGAGAAGGGTTGAGCGCTCGAAATCATGTAGATAATGCAATTCAGTGCATCATATTTTGATGGGACTTGATTAGCAAGTCAAGTATATCATTATTCTGAAGCGGTCCTAAAATGATTTTAGTTTTAAGAAATCTAGAGCTTTATAATTCTAAGATTTTTTGATAAATTTTTGTGTATAAGCGTTAAATGTAATGGAAACGGATAATAAAGTCAAAGTCAATATAGTTTATTCATATAGGTAACACAATGTACCTACACTTATGAACGTCAAAAAAGAAATATACATTAAGTGCTTCTAATTTTTTTTTTTTAAAAAGACACTTCACACCAATTGACCTAGTCCCATGCTAAGCTGGTGAAGCTTGTGTTATGGGTACTAGGCAACGGATATACATACATATTATAGATAGATAGACATACATATTTAAACACCCAATTCCTAAGCACAACACCAAATGCTCATCACATCGATGTTCGTCTCAGCCGGGGATCGAACCCGGGACCCATGGACTCGCAGTCAGGGGTACTAACCACTAGACCAATGAGTCGCCAATTTTACATTTACTGCCAGTTCTCAAATCAAGGGCATAGAACGGAAGGGGGGAACTGGCAATTAACTCTTGAGATGGTAAATTTGGATTTGCAGCGAACTGCCTGTAGAAACGTTTTTGTTGTCCGATTAATAGATTTCTCATATTTCGTTAAATGTAGGTTTAACTGAAGAATTTAGTTTTATAAAACTCGACTTTTAAATTGGGTTGATAACCTATTAATTAAAAGCTCTTATAAAAATTGTTTCACATATATGATAAACATAAATCGTTTTCATTTTGTTAAATTCGTAGATTTTTTAGACATAGCATTTTATTCGAAAAGTAAAAAGAATAGTTATCATCATCATATTTTATGTAAATTAATGTTATACGTACTCCCATATACCTCAGAATTAATAAGTCTAATTTCCTTTTACAGAACTCTTCTGTCTTTTTTCGGCACAGCATAACCACTATTTCTCAGAAAGAGACCGATCTAGTTTTTTCGATAAGGGACTTAATCTATACAAAACAATTCAGTTTTAGAATTTGTTTGTATATTTGTTTGAACGTGCTATTTTTGGACGGGTTCAAATTGAAAAAAATTATCGCATAGATGTTCTATTGAATAACGCGAGAGGCTGAATTTATGTAAATAGTGTAATAAATTTGCGATTATATTTATATGTTGCTATATATAGCGCTCCTAATTGGCTACCAACTACGCCATCGGGTGGATCTGTGGCCGAGAAGTCAGACAGGAGTGTCTATTCTCTCCTTTCCTAAAAAGGGACTTTATTGAGATGGTCTGGTGGGCTTGGCGTTTCCCGCCGTGGCCGCACGATTTCTTTGAAAATATCGTCATGGTTGTTATGGGATAGTCGGAGCCTGCTGGCCGACGGGGACAGCGTCTCCTCTCGTGCTATTTATCAAATGACATTGTTAAACATGGTAAGTTTTTTTAAATACTCTCTCTCAATCAGTCTCAATCGCTCTCTCCCTTTTCTTCGACAAAAACGCTGCACATCTTCGTGACGCTAATATTATTATTATTGCGTTTCATCCGTAAAAATTTTACCCTCATGCGCCTAAAAAAGTTTCACCTCAAAAAATAATAATATATATACTCACTTGGAATGGTATTGCAAATAATCCTATAACTATATCAGCCAGTGCCAAATTAGCAATGTAACAGTTAGTTACGCTTTGCATTCGACGCGACGTTGCGACCACCCACATCACCAGAAAGTTCCCTATCACAGCCAATACAGATATTGAGCCGTACAGGAACGATAACAATACTATCATTCCCGTTGGAACGTCGTACAAGGTGTCTGAAACAAACAAATGACATGATTAGACAGAGAACATAATTTGCAGATGTTTAATCCAGCCGTGTGAAACAAGCACATGCATACTTAATAAAACTTACTAAAGCAAAAAAAAAAGATTTTATTAAAACGGACGTAAAACCTAATAATTGTTTGTTTTGTATCTTGTTATTTATCACCTATTAATTTAAATATACACAATATATGTGTTACAAATAAATTTACACAGTTTTCAGTATTTTCCGTACATGAGCAGTGTTGGCTTCAGCGTGCGAATCTCATCCCTAAGGTGGTAGGTTCGAGCCCCGGTTAATATTCACTCGAACAGTGAAAGAAAACATCGTGAGGAAACCGACTTGCCTTAGACCCAAAACGTCGTGTCGACTTGCCTATAAGATTGACAAATGATCATAAAATAGATATAGAAATCTGAGGCCCAGATCTGAAAAGGTTGTAGGTTTTAACAGACATTACATAAATAAATTGATGAAATTTACAAAAGCACAAAAAACTTAAAATATTTTTTACACAACTTTCATTGAATCAGTCATCCAAGAGTTTCCATCCATAATCCTTTATAAGACAAATTCAGTGGAACTTGCAACTGGATTGTTCGAAGTCTATTGGATAAGGATAAAAGAAAAAGTTTAACGACTTAACGAATCTTTACAAGAAATTTAAGCTGCTTTATATTCTGTATATTTACTTTCAAAAAATTCTCCTTGAAACTTTACTAAATCGATTCAAATTAAATATTTCAGCTACATTAAATCGCGGCGGTCGTTATATAACTTTCACGTGGCTTAATAAAGGTTTAGAGTTACCCTCACTTAAATTTATAATGTGCTTATACAAGTAAATGAATATTGTAATCTTTCAGAACAGCGAAATTACAATTTAACAGAACGAAAGATATTTAAACTTTAAGGTAATATACTACTAAATAAAGTTTCTAAGGTGGTGATTAAGGGGTTAGGTGGTTAAAGAAGCTGGTACCACTCTCTACATCATAAAGTCTTCAAGATCGGCATCCAACTGTGGAAAATATCCAGCTATTACGTTGGCGAATTGGGGAACGGGGAGCAATTCAAACAATTTATTAGAACACTCGCCACATTGCTTAAAGTTTAAGGACGCAATAACGCTACGAAAATATATATATATATATATATATATATGTACCTCGCATATATAACAAAAGGCCTGTATTCACTTTGATAAGTGCGAGTGCAAGTTAGTGATTGAGGATGATTATTGCAGCCTTGCGATTCTGTAAAAGTGAGTTACAGAATCGCAAGGCTGGTGTGTAGTGCAAGTGTCCAATTCTTGCTTAGTGGCTCTGTTGAGTAAATTCAGTTGGCAATAGCTGTCGATCAGCATGATTGGACGAACATCGAGAAACAAGCTTGCAGTTGGAAGAAGTACTGAAACAAGTATTAAACGCGGTGCTATCTGAAACCAAAGAAGTTTTGGAAGCTGAACTTGCAAGATTAAGAAAAGTAAGGGTTCGAAAATGGATTAATAGAAGACCCATTCATTGCGCATGCTCTATAAGGAATTTGCGGCTGAAATATACGACGGTATATTACTTTGCTCTCAGCTTGACCGAAGAGTCCTACTGCCAGTCCAGACGTATTTTGGCTAATCAGTCGCATTCCACACTTGTTTTCTCCAAATCACAAATCAAAGTGAATACAGGCCTTTACTTGACTAAACTGATTTGAATTTGGAACACATTTTTAAAACCGAAGATATCATTAATTTCTATACTTTATATCTTTCAATTATATTCTTAATTGTCTTTGATTCTACTAAAGGTCGTATGAAAGCCAGTTTTACAAGATTTCAGTTGTACATTAGCGCCATTTTAATTTATTTAATTGCTTACGCAGCCTCGCCAAGTATTCGAAACGTCGAACCATTTTCCTATTAAAATACGGCATACGAATTCACAGCTTGCCTTTGTTTTAAAGATCTCCAATTATAACTAAGAATAGTCGTCGAAAACTCATTATGTTTCATTGAATTTCATTTTCGCTCTAATTTTCAGGCATATTGTTATTTGATTAAAGCATGATTGGTTTTGTATAAAATAAACTTAAAGTTAAGCGTTATGGATTGACATAGTATCTAGCTTTACGATTAATATTTTTAATATTTGGAAAATATATATTGTTATTTTTGGATAAGGTAGCATTCTATTATTTAAACAACTTATGTAATTTGTAATAAATATACCTACCAAAATATTTTATTTAGTATAGTTGTGGTTGTAAGGGTAGTAAGGTAATATTCAAGCCTTTAACGATAAAAAATCATGCAGAACGATTAGAGCAGTGTTATACTAGTCACTTAAGTGTGCCTCAAACCTAAGGACGTGCATCAGGACTGTGCTCTAATATTTTTTTTACGGTACCTACGTTGAAGGCAAAAACCGTAATGAAAGCGGCATAACTCAAATATTGATGACATGTGTCAGACACCTACTTTTCTATAAATTAATAATGATCGAAACGGATAAAATCTGGTGCCCAGACCCATCTGGGTTGTAGCACCACTGAATTCGATAACCATTCTAAATATAACATATACAAAAACTTACTTACTGATTAACTCCAAATAAAAAGTAGAAAAAGAGTTTGATATGACTGTATTTTCTATCAAAATTAGAATGTTTGTCAATAACTAGGCAACAGATAATTAACTTTTTCATAGCTAGCAATCATGTACAACTACTTTAAACGCCTATTTTATTATTTACTATTTGGAATTAACGTAACCATGGCAACAAATACTGAATTAACCATATTATCATTGTATATCACCAGGACCTATGCGATTTTTATTACTTTGTGGTTTACACTGATATATTTTGTAACTAAAAATACCTGTCAACATATTTGCAGTTGAAAAAAAAGTGAATTCAGATTAATCTTTACTTACCAAAAACATCTTGTGAGGAATTATTACTTAAATATTCTTCTAACGTGACGTTATGGGCCCAGTCCGCGTCGTCATCTTGAGCTGAGCCAGGCGTACTGAAACAAACATATAAATATTGAATTGCGACAAATGGTCTGGACTGGTGTGTAGTGAGGACTCAGTGTCCGCACGTAGACGCTACTTCCAGAAGCTCAGCAGCTTCCTTTGCAGGCTTCACGGACCTCACTGCTCCAATGATATTTGTGCATTTGGAAGCCACAGTCACGCATTATAAGACTACTTGATTGACTGACTCCTATGCGCTGAAACAGCCTCTGCACAAGAGACTGGTTGTAGCACCGAGGAGTGTGCAAAGTGATCTTTATTTGGAAGACAGTGATCCGTAATTATCCTTTAATTGGGATTACTTCTGTGGAAGCTTTGAAGTCGCTTTGCCGGGTTTACTGCTGGCAGTGCCGTTTTGGACTGTCTGCAGACTGCGTTTTGCGACAAACGGTCATATTGGAGTTCGGTGGCAAAAGTAATCCACAGTCAGCCGTCAGTTAAAAACAATTGAATAACTGAAATTATTATTCGCATACTTTGTTTCTTATTTAAACATTTTTGTTGATAAAAGCTCTTGAAAAATATAACCAAGTTATACCCAAATAAAATCCGGTATCTAAATGTTAAAGAAACAACAGGACAAAAGAATGTCCGGATCCCAGAGTAAACACTAAACAGTCGTTTGTCAGTTATAAGAAACATTTTCGTTTAAAAATTGAAGTGCGTTTGTAAAACGAAATACGCAAGACAACGTTGCATTCAAGTGTAATTGGCGAAACGGACGTAATAAACTTTAACACAAACTCAAAATTACTTTATTCATATGGGTAAACAAGCACACTTATGAATGTCAATAGAAAAGATGTTAAATTGATTCTAAATTTACATTTACTAGTTCGCAAGTCAAGGGCGTAAAGCGAGCAAGAAGAACTGGCAAGAAACTCTCCGCCACTCTTTTTAATCGCTAAGTTTTGAGTCATACAAATTGTTTGAACTGGAGCAAATCAATCCTAAGGATTAGGATCATTTAGATATTCGTCAAATTTATAAAAAGCTTTATTCATTAATTTACGTTTAACGAGAGCTTTGAATTTATTTAGTGATAATCATCTAATTTCGCTTGGGAGTTTGTTTTAAAAACGAATACAATTTCCTTTGAATAACATGACCTATCGCGTGTCAACGTGGACTAGAGATGCTGGTGAGCAATCAGAATTCGACGAAGCGTACAATCGTGTTGTCTTTTATTTTACATTCTGGAGGTTTTCTTACGAATTAATGAAGTTATTGCTTAGTCGTTAGCTTTGTTAAGCGTTAACTTAGATAAAGATAGTCTTTAACTTAGCTTTGTTAAGCCTTTATGTATGTATTTCAAACGAAAACGTGGTTGACGTTTCTGCGTCTATTTCATTGCTTTTAGGCAAAGTTTAATCGCATCCCATTTATACGCAATAGGCTTTCCAAGCTTTGAGTAAATTAAGTTACGGAATTGCTTTGAAATAAAAAAAAAATCAGTGGCGCTACAACCTCTTTAGGTCTGGGCCTCAGATTTCTGAATCTGTTTCATGATCATTTTTCAATCTAATGAGCAAGTAGGTGATCAGTCTCCAGTGCCTGACACACGCCGTCAACTTTTTGGGTCTAAGTCATATCGAATTCCTCACGATGTTTTCCTTCACCGTTCGAGCGAATGTTAAATGCGCACATAGAAATAAAGTCCATTAGTGCACAGATGGGGATCGAACCTACGACCTGAGGAATAAGAGTCGCACGCTGAATCTACAAGGCCAACCCTGCTCATTAAATTGCTGAATTGCCTTTAGACATTTAAATTTTGAAAGTAGGCGCAAAAAACTAAACAGAATTTTATTATTTCATATTAAATTGAGCCATTGCAGAAACTAAAACTGAGAACGCATTTAATTTATAATAATCTCACAGCATATTATATTAAGAAAAAATACAGAATGCCAGCCCTTATAGTTATATAACTAAAGCATTGCAGGTAAACTTAATTAGTTAAAAAGTTAAAGGAGTAATTAAGTCTTTATTTCTAATATTTATTATTTACCACAACGTCAAAATATAATAAGATAAGCCAAAACCGTGTGCTAAATTCTCAAAATTTAATCAGAAACTTGCAGCTGTGCTTAGAATTTGTCATAATTTGTGAACGAGATATGATCATTATACGAATTTGAAAGCTGACATCCTTGAGTTATTGTTCAGCCTCAAGTTTTGTATGTAAAACTTTGCCTTACATGGGTGAATTTCCAAACTAATATCATCAAAGACAAGTCTTTCGTACGCAAAGACAGCTTCTATATTCAAATAACCAGTAATTTCAAAGACTAGATTGAAAGCTAGACTGTAGACTGCAGCGTTATATACTTTCCTTAGAATGAATCCTTTTGAAATGTCTATATTTTACAACACAAAGATACTTTGAATAAAGAACAAATCAGTTTCATCCTATGAATAATATTGTTCCACTGAATTAACATGAGACGAGTAAACAGCTGTGTGATTTGATTAATTCCAAAATCTGTAATATAAATATTATAAAAGTACACCACATAATATATTTGTATTATTTTACTATGCTTTATTAAATCTGGAAAACTTCCTTCATCAATACAATTGTTAAAAATATACGCAAGATCTGGGGCAATAATATCAACAATGTCCTTAATAATATGTAGGTACAGGAACATCCCACAAGTCTCCAGAATATTTTAATTTAAAAGATTTAAAAGTTTTAACTACCTACATCATCAGCGCTGACGTGGCTAAACTGAAAATTTATTTTGCATTCTGGTACGTAACTTTTAAGAAAACTAATAGCCTCTTTGGGAGAGGAATTAAGAAAAGATGTAGTAATTATGTTTGTAAAAAAAACTTCAAAATATCAGCAATCTCTGAGCTTTCAACAATAATCTTATCATCTACCTTAAAAAATAATGAATTATTACGGGATTTAAGGTTTCCTGTTTCTCGATTTTTAACATTCCAAGTAAAAGTTCCTATTCTTAAAGGCCGGCAACGCACTCGCGAGTCGCGAACCCTCTGGTATTGAGTGTCCATAGCGGCGGTATCACTTAACATCAGGTGAGCTTGCTGCCTGTTTGCCCCATGTTCTGTATAATAAAAAAAAAACCAAAGGAAACTTGTAAATTATTCTTAAACAGCTATTAGGAGCAAATTTCAACTTTTCGCGACTATTTAAAATTTTCAAAAAAATCTTAATGACTTTAAGGATTTAGCGAAACCAAATGGAAAATTGTTTAAAAGTTGGCGTAACACGCACGTTTCTCTAAAAGTTTTTGTGAAGTATCCTTCCCAAAATATGCATGCATTTTGCAAGAGTTCATGAGCATGGATCAAGTTTTACTTGTAAAAAAATAAAATGCTAGGAGATTAAAAGAAGTAGCGGAAACGCATGTTTCCACGTACGAGTTTTTCTCATACGCTCTAAATAATTTGGTAGTAAATGTAAATTTAGAGGAATATGATTTTTAAATAGGCCCAGTGGTTTTGGAGCCAAACTAAAAAACGATCCACGGCTGTGTACCAATGGACTTTCTTTCTGTGTTCGCATCTAACATTCGCTCACTCGCGAAGAAAACCATCGTAAGGATACCGGCAGGTCAGAAAAATTTACTCTTACAAATTGGTAATCACAATAATGTGTCTTAATGAAAACGCTTAATGACTGGGAAGCCACAGTCTCCAGAAATAAATGTCTCAATAAATCAGATGACTGGGACACTTCTTTTTGTAACAGTTATTTTAACTAAATTAGTATTATTCTGGCTCATGTAGTTTTATTAATTAAATGTGTCAAAGTCTTAAAATTTCAATATCAGATAATAATCCAAGTCTAATAAACTATTGTCAAACGAAAATACCCTTCTTTTTCGCGCTTTAAAAATGCGGCCATTGCGGAGATTTATTAAGGCAACCTGGACAATTTCAGGTGAAATTCATAAGGATTTTCATTGATTTAATGTTCAAAGTCAGAACCATATTTCACTTTAAAACTGAAATCCGTCACATGCTCAAAGTTGTCTTCGCCATAATTTTATATTTTAATGTTTTAAGCACACAGGTTTAACACACTATTCTCACGGTATTATTCATAACTTTAAATCTCAATTTCCAATACGAAATAGTTTAGGGCAAATACTTATTATATGTGTGGTGTGCGCAATGGAGCAACAAATGTTTTGTGCAATGTATTCATTATGTTCCCATTGTAAACAAGGAAACATGTCGCTTGTTTTTGAAGTTATACTTCTTTAGGCGCGTTATGAAAAATTGATGAGAGTGAAATTTTACGATGCGCGCGCACCTGAGACACAAAGTTGTCAGTGTGATTATAGCGTGCGCGAGCGAGATGGTAATAAGACAATCTACAAGTAAAAAGAAATAGAATATGCGTGAAGTTAGCAGCTATGCCAAGAATTTTGAATGACCATAATGACATTTACCTTTTAAACAAATAAAGGAGTTTTAATTATTTAAACTACGGATTAGGTTTTATTAACGTTGTATATTAGATATAGTGATTCAAAAGAAAGGTGTACATGTATATACTATTAATAAAAAATAAAATAACCAGTGGCGCTACAACATTTTTAGGTCTGGGCCTCAGGTCTCTGTTTCATGATCATTTGTCAATGTAATAGGCAAGTAGGTCATCAGTCTCCTGTGACACACATACCGTCAACTATTTGGGTCTAAGCCGGTTTCCCCACGAAGATTTCCTTCTCCGTTCGAGCGAATGTTAATTGCGCACATAGAAATAAAGTTCATTGGTACACAGCCGGGGCTCCAACCTACGATCTGAGGGATCAGTCGCACGCTGAAGCCACAAGTCCAAAACTACTCTATATAAACATGAATAAATTACTCTTTCGTCGCTTCCCGCCTTTGTACACATACATATATCGCTACGTAATTTAATATTAGGTCCTTACATATGAAATTGGCGTTTTGTATGGGAGGAACAAAAAGTCGAATATTTTTAAATATAATATATTTAATTAATCAAAGTATGAACCATTGTTTTCTATGCACTTTTGCCATCTCATAGGTAGTTCATTGATCCCTCTACTAAAAAAACCAGTCGGACGGGAATCAATAAAATCTGTGAAGGCGATTTGGACTGCCCCATCAGAGTTAAATTTTTTCCCTTGCAAGAAGTTGTCCAAATTTCGAAAAAAATGGTAATCTGTTGGAGCAAGGTCCAGGGAGTACGGAGGATATCTTAGACATTCCAATTGAAGCTCTTCTAATTTGGTAGCCGTCTGTTGTGCAGTGTGTGGTCTAGCGTTGTCGTGAAGTAGCGGTGGCGTGGAGCGATTGACCAGCCTAGGTTGTTTAGCCGCTAGCTATTCCATCATGGTTTGCAATTGCTGACAATAGACATCAGCCGTAATAGTCTGGCCAGATTTGAGAAAACTGCAATGAACAATACCGGCACTAGTCCACCAAACACTTACAAGTAACTTTTTTGGGGTTAATTTTCGCTTAGGGATTTGGCTGGCTGGCCAGGATCCAACCATTGCGCTGAGCGCTTCCGATTATCGTAAAGATTCCATTTTTCATCACAGGTAATGATTCGGTTTAAAATACCTTCATTATTGTGCCGGTTCAGTAATGTAACGTAGCAGTCGACGCGCGTTTGCCGGTTTGCTTCAGTCAATTCGTGAGGTACCCATCTTTCAAGGTTTTTAATCTTCCCAATTTGCTTGCGAGTCATTTCCGCAGCACTAGTGCCACGGCGGAACTCGTTCTCGTAAATAATGCGATACTTTAAGTTTTCCATTTTGTAAAATGAGTGACGCAAACAGAAAGAAACAGAAGAAAAAAACAAATGAATGACGGTCATCAAAGCACAAATACATGAGTAAATAGCTGTACAAATTTGAATTTGGAATTCCTTACCAAAGAGGAGAACATCGTGATTAAAGTGGCCAGTACGAAATACGCCAATTTCATATGTAAGGACCTAATATATCGCTACGTAATTTAATTTAATAATATTTAAAAGTGTTAAGTAATTTAAGAATGTTTACATATATAATAATATCTATATCGTGTAGAGAAGCTATACGCGCTGGTGATAGTTAGTTTGGTGAATAAAAAATTTGGGTGTCTTATCTTCAATTAATAAATAATCAAGCATAAATGAGTTTGCCCCATATGAGGTTTCTGGCTACACATGCTCTATTTAATTGATGTTTCATCTTATATATTCAATCTTGTGAGGAAGTTGCATGGTTCTGGTTAGCGCTGCGCCTTTTTAATTCTCGTAATTTTTACACGTCGCGTCGTTTCTATAACATATTTTCATATGTATCTGATTTTTCTTTCACATGTGTGATGTTTGAGAGCAAAAGTGAAATAATAAAAAATAAATCAATACCACAAAATAAAAGAATCAAAAACTAAGAAAGCAGAGGCCGCGAACAATGAAGTATGATAAATCACAGATGCCTCGCAAGCGATTACGTGATCTCGCGAAGATTGGATTTCAATAAACGCTATCCGCCCCAGACCCTTTCCAACAAAGAAGTCAACTCTCAAGACCTCAAGAGGCCTCATCACGTTCTTAGCGATCCAAATAATCTTCAGCTGCTCACAAGTTTCGGGACACTAGATAGAATAGCACAGTCACTCCTTTGAACTTTCGTGTCAGTCTCACAGGAAACGCCCTTGTCTTGGAAATAACCTGTTATTATCGTCAGAGATATGCTCGCCAAACAGCCTGACCATTGCTGTGAAGGTACTGCAGCCCAACAGACATTACATTAAAAAAACGATCCAGGAATTCGACATTTGGAGATCAAATCGTTAAGTAGTAAATTAGATTTCATAGTGTGATTGGAAATCGAATAAACCTCAAACTAAAACTAATAAACCAAGTTACCTGAACAGCTACGGATTCAATTTATAAGGACTTTCATTCAAATAAGATTTTATAATCTAATTTAAATATTTATGATAATAACTTGGTGTCGTGTCTCTGATTCTCTCCGACACGTACAAGTAAAATCAAATACGTATTACGAATATAACTTATTAATTATGTGTATTTAATTATAATAGAATTAGTCAAATATATTGTTATCTAAAATAATAAAAATGATATTATAATATTTAGATTATTAGAGTGAAACGTACAATGAGCGTGCAGACTGTGCTCCGTTTATTCTAGGAAATAGGAATATGCAAAAACATTACTTATAAAAAGCTAAGTCTCCCATACTACTTCTACCGGCCAAAGTTAGTTAACCTAACAACATCTTATAGTGACCATATCAATATTACAAATCTTTTAAATAATAAAAATAAAATTTAAAATAGGGAGTCGAAAATGAACTGCTTCGACAAATGGAAAGTAGTTGGAAGTTGCCGCTTTCTGCTCGACTTGGCGAGCGGGATCGTGTTTCCCAACGTGGAGACTTGAGACTGAAGCTAACCTTATTGGAACCTAATATAAAATCTCTGTGCAGTAAGCATCAAGCGCAAGGATCTTACTAAATTAATATAGAAAATTCTTAGTTACAATTATTTGGAATTTGAATTTTATTGTGTTTTGACCTATTATTTAAATTTCTAAAGTGAACAATGTAATTTTGTAATTTATAAATAATGTATGTTATAATAATTTTAGGTAGGCTAAGGTGGGGCATGGCACGAAAAAGGCTACGAAAAACTGTACAGTACGAACACACGTTGTCACACAGTCAAACTGAAAATGACGTCTTCATCTTTACTGTTTCCATTAATAATGTACTTCTTTATACAATCTCAGATAAATTAATGGGCGTGTTTGGCCGAAGTAAGTACTTACTAAACTTAGTAAGCCAGTAAGCATAAAAAAATTAAAGTCTTACAAGCTGACTGTAGCGCTTTTCGGCCAGGACAGACTTACTGGCTTATTAACATAAACTTAAAACACCGGTTTATGTCATATCCCGTACATATCTGAACAATGACAGGTCTGTTCCTGTCCGTTTTGTTTACATCAACAATAAGCAAAATGGCGTCGTATATTAAGCCATACTTACTGCGTTAGCACTTATTTTGTGTCCCGGCCGAAAATTTTGTAAGCATAGTAAGTGACTTACTAAATTTAGTAAGTACTTACTTCGGCCAAACACGCCCAATGACTTTTACAACTCAACAGTATGAATTTAAAATTATCGAAGATACGAGATCCTATATTATATCCTCTTTTTAAATATAGCTATCAAAAAGTGACAGTCAAAAACTTTCCCAGAAAATTAAATAATTAAATCACCGAAGCCTTTTTAAATGAACAGAGGTGAATTGAGATCTCCTTTATTGAATAATGTTTGATCAAAGCATTTCATATTTCATCAAATCTAAGGAAGATGTCGTAAACAAGAAATGAACACGAACAATTTTCCGCTTCAGTTACATCCAACGTTTATGGAAACAATTTAGTTATATTAGGATGTATTTATTATTAATTTATTTATTACTTTAGAATTGTTTTTTTTGTTTTATTACTTTATAATTATTTATACTTAGTTTATAGTTAGTTTGACGACTCATTGGTCTAGTGGTTAGTACCCCTGACTGCGAAACCATGGGTCCCGGGTTCGATCCCCGGCTGAGACGAACATCGATGTGATGAGCATTTGGTGTTGTGCTTAGGTCTTGGGTGTTTTAATATGTATTTATATCTATCTATCTATAATAATATGTATGTATATCCGTTGCCTATTACCCATAACACAAGCTTCACCAGCTTAGCATGGGACTAGGTCAATTGGTGTGAATTGTCTTTAAAAAAAAAAAAAATACAATATACAACATACAACAAAGTAATAAAACCTTTAAAAGCAAATCGAACCCCGGACCATATGAAACTAGAATTTTATTTTTAGTTTAGAAAAAATATAA